ATTAATATATATGTCGTGCTGAATAGGTGAAAGTGGTCAGTTAGAAAAAACTCATTTAAAATTAAATCCTTTCTAAATTTTTCTCTTATACGCCCCTCAAGGAAGGTTCCTTGATGTTGGTGAGGGGCTCTTGATTTAGGGAATTGGATCTGTGCTCCAGTTCCCCAAATTAAGCCTGAATGCCTTCCACATCCCCCCCCAGGCGCTGTATAATCCTCCGGGTTTAGCGCTTCCCCCTTGATTGTAATAATAATAATAATTCTCTTATACGTTTAAAGATATTTTTTTAATGCATGTTAACGTAAAAATTAATAATTTTGTACCAAAAGAACCTTAGAAAACTTATCTAACCTTATTATAAAAAGCGCAATTTAATTTAGCCAAATCCAGCTAAATATATTTTAGATAAGTTTACAATAATTTGATAATAAGCAAATACAATGAAATATATTTTTTTTCGTTGTGTTCAGAATGACTTTTGCGAAATTATTACATATAAAAATTTTCGCTTGCCTTATTCGGCAAGAGGAGCGTTGATATTTAAGCCAAAATCGCAAGTTTAAAGTATTCGGCATGACATATATATATATATATATATATAAATATATATATATATATATATATATATATATATATTTTATATATATTTGTGATGTGTGTGTGTGTTGCGTGTGCGTGTGTGTGTTGCTCTTGTACAAGATGAGATATGCAAAAATGCAACAGAATTGTCTTTTAATTAATCAAAATAACTATTTTCTCCTGTTCGTGCGTGCTGGATGTGCCTGGCTGATGCAGGGAGTGCAGGTGCAACACAATGTGTCTGTGGGAGTGATCATCAGCAACCAGAGTCTGGTGATACAGAGACTTCGTCGACAACACACTGGTCTCTATACCTGCGTCGCTTCCAACATTGAGGGTGACGGCCAGAGCAATGCTGTCGTTCTCAAAGTTCAATGTAGGAACAACAATTGATGTGTGTGTGTGTGTGTGTGTGTGTGTGTGTGTGTGTACTCACCTAATTGTAGTTGCAAGGGCCTAGTCTCAGCACCTGGCCTCACCTCTCTGCTGGTCTCTACCGGGTTCATTCTCTCCTGGCTACGTGAGCAATATTATACATATTGACTCAAGAAATCGTAATGACACGATTGCAAATAAACCATACCCCCGGCCGGGATTGAATCCGCGGTCTAGTGGTCTAGTGGCTAACGCGACGGGCTGGAGTTTTGAGACTCTATGACCGCGGGTTCAATCCCGGCCGGGGGTATGGTTTATACATATTCTTAGAGCTACTTGTGGATTCTGACGCTACCACTTCGCTGTCCAGATCGTTCCACCTCCTGATAACTCTGAGTCTGAAGAAATACTTTCAAACCTCCAGCTGTGCTCTCGTGTTCTTGTTTTGCGACTTTCGAACAACCTGTCTCTGTCAACCCTATTAATTCCTCCCAGTATTTTGTACGTTTTTATCATATCACTTCTAGTCCATCTTTCCTCTAATGTCGTCAGGTTTAGCTGCTTTAATCTCTCTCAAATTATGTCAGCTGGATCACTTTGACCTTCCCACCTGCAAGTTTAAGTAACATGAATCTTACCTAAAGTTTACCTGGAGAGAGTTTGGGGGGTCAACGCCCCCGCGGCCCGGTCTGAGACCATCTGTATTGAAACATGTAGATTACTGTGTCTGCTTTGAACAATTCCTTTGCTGTTCTCCTTGTCATCTCCTGCATCTCCAGAGGTTCTGTTTGTTACCCTTTCTCTTCCTTCCATCCCTCTCACCTGCTGTTACAGTTCCTGCTTCCATGTCTTTTTCTTTCCCTCAGCGGCTGCAGTTCTCTTCTGTTCTTTGTTTTCTGTAGATACTTTCTGTTCCTTCCTCAACATCTTTTTTTGCAAGTCTCTAAATTCTTTTTCCCACTCTTGTTCCATTTTGTACCTAAGTCCTGCAACAGTCAGTTCCCACTCGGTCTACTCATGCCCTTATTCTTCCTCCTTGGCTCTTCTTTCTTTTCTGTTTGGGTTCCCATATTTTCGTTCCTCAAATTTCATCTAGATGGGTATAATAACTTCCTCAGACTGTAGCTTGTACTAGCGAACGAGCTTCTAGTCTGTGCCCTTGCTTGTATACCGTATAAACAGCTCTGTACAGAACAACTAAACTGTTTGTGTGTTTGTGTGTGTGTGTGTGTGTGTGTGTTTGTGTGTGTGTGTGTGTGTACTCACCTATTTGTACTCACCTATTTGTGGTTGCAGGGGTTGAGTCTTAGCTCCTGGCCCCGCCTCTTCACCGGTTGCTACTGGGCCCTCTCTCTCCCCCCTCCATGAGCTTTATCAAACCTTGTCTTAAAACTATGTATGGTTCCTGCCTCCACTACATCACTTTCTAGGCTATTCCACTGCCTGGCAACTCTATGACTGAAGAAATACTTCCTAATATCTCTCTGACTCATCTGTGTCTTCAGCTTCCAATTGTGACCTCTTGTTTCTGTGTCCCCTCCCTGGAACATCCTGTCTTTGTCCACCTTGTCTATTCCGCGCAGTATTTTGTATGTCGTTATCATGTCCCCCCTATCTCTCCTGTCCTCCAGTGTCGTCAGGTTGATTTCCCTTAACCTCTCCTCGTAGGACATACCTCTTAGCTCTGGGACTAGTCTTGTTGCAAATCTTTAGACTTTCTCTAGTTTTTTACGTGCTTGGATAGGTGTGTGTGTGTGTGTGTGTGTGTGTGTGCGTGTGTGTACGTACGCATGCCAGCTGTCATCCCTTTAATTATATTTATCTACTTATGTTTGCAGGGAAAGAATCATCTTTCCCTGCCTTCCTCTTAACTCTGATTTTGAAATGCATTATTTATTTAACTCTTTAACATGAAACATAACTACAGATATTACTTCCTGGTCAAATTTAGTTGAGGTTATACAAAAGACATTCGTCTCAGAGCATAAATTAAATAAATTTGTATCATTATGTAACACTCTGACTGAGAAGCCGAATGCAAACTTTTACTCCGTGTTGCTTTAACTGAGTCTATAGTATTAATAAGACAATATTGTATAGGTAAGACATGTATGCTAGCGAAACATCGTCCGTAAGCCTGCTGAAGGCTTGTATCTTCGTCTAAGTATCAAACACAGGTTATGTAACCAACAGGTGTGTATTTCTCTGTACAATTAAACAAAGTGAGTGTTTGGTTTGAAGAACTCTTGACTTGTTAACCGGTGAAATTCAATCTTAATGATACCCGTACAACAGATAGGCTTTAACTCTAGCACAGACATCCAGAAAATCTGAGCCAGCACTGATTCATTGATGACCTTGCAAGATAATGTATTCTTTACTGAAGAACTCTTTTCTTTTCCCATTTATGCCAAAAAAAATCATTAATTCACTAATAATAGTTTACTTCACATTAGGGGATTTTATGCACAATTTTCAAGGTAATCTATAGTCAGGAAGCCGTATGGAAAGGAGCGGGTTAACTCAAAATACACAGAACTGGTAATCTTTCTCTTTCTTGTATTGTAGTTGATGCTGTCAGAGATACATGTGATCAGGACACATCTTCATAGTCGTTGATGATAAAAAAAAATTACCATTTTTAAGTCGGCTAAACCTCTATAATTTAAATTTTCATCTCCCTCAGAAAATTCTACTTAGACTTAAATCAATCATCGAGTTGTTACTTCATGTCCTCATAAGTCACATTCCAGCCCCTTAAACAAGACAAACTTGAGATATAAACCAACTATTTGGAAAATAAAAAAAGATTAACTGAATATTTCGGTTATCTTCAGATACAGGCTGAAATTTTCTGTTTACCTTTACAAATAAACGAAGTGTTTATATAGCACTGACCAGAGCACTATGATAAGTTAATAAGTTTCTTATCAATCTTCTCTGTACCGTCAGATGCCCCTGTGTGCGCCTCAGGTCAGGTCCACGTCTACGGAGCCGCCAAGAACGAAGAAGTTTCCATCACATGTCGACTGGATGCTGTGCCTCCTGTTGTTCATTTCTTCTGGCGATTTAACAGCAGTGGCGATGTTGTTGACATCGCTGAGAATCACGTGGTGACACAGGGGCTCCAGTCCTCCCTCTCCTACGTGGCCCGCACTGAGTTGGACTACGGCACTTTACTGTGTTGGGGTAGCAACTCCCTCGGCAGACAGAAGAAACCTTGTGCTTTTAAGGTGGTCGCTGCCAGCAAACCCAATCCTCCTGAGAGCTGCAGTCTTACTAACCAAACAACGGAGACGATGAAAGTGCACTGTGTACCTGGTTACGATGGCGGCCTGGTGCAAAGGTTCATTATCGAGATTTATGAGGCAGAGACTAAACGTCTGCTACTCAACATTACGGAAAACACCGCTCCGGAGTTTTCTCTGCGAGGCCTTGAACCAGGGACCTCGTATGTTGTGCATGTTTACGCTGCCAACGAAAGGGGCGTAAGTGAAAGAAGGTACCTCGCTGGCTATACCATTAAAGACGTAGCAGAGAGACGCACTGCCCAAGTTAAGCCTCCTCCAGATGAAGAGGTGTCCATCACTCCCATTCTGGCGGTGGTGGTGGGAGTGGTGGCGTCACTGGTGTTGGTGGCGCTGGTGGCAGTATTAGTGGTCACCCTCAAGAAAAAACGACATCCAAGAAGCAAAAATATTACCTTGCAGACCTCCCTGGCTGAGACTCGGGACTTAGATGACAACAATCCTGACCTCATTCCAGCCAACGGTAAGTCGCTAAGATTTTAGAGTTGAAGTAGCATAACACTAACGAAACCCCTTGAATTTCAGTACACCAGAGTGACCACTCGAAGAAAATGAGACAAAACTTATATAGTATATATTAACTTCTTACCTCCGCTGTCTGACCAGAATGTATTAAGCCCCATTGCACAGCACTTTTTTGCTCATTTTCTATAGTTTTTCTTGCAAATTTACTTTTCCAATATACATTTAACTGCACTTGCTTCATGAAACACAGCCACAGCGTGGAAATATATTTTCAAGAAAATTATAGCGGAATTCGTCATTTTATTTGTACCGTTTCTTGATAGTTCGTGCACAGCACAAATTATACATAATCGTATAGAAATATGAATATTATATGTCATAATTCAGTGTGAGACAAATCACAACAAACCTGTATGTAGAATATGGAAAGGAGACGGTCGAAACATCTAGAGAAATGTGCCTGTACTGTGAAGGAAGACATATTTATGTTATGAAGGAAGGAATTATGTCTGGGATATGAAGGAATGACCTATGTCTGGGATATGAAGGAAAGACCTATGTCTGGGATATGAAGGAAAGACCTATGTCTGGGATATGAAGGAAAGACCTATGTCTGGGATATGAAGGAAAGACCTATGTCTGGGATATGAAGGAAAGACCTATGTCTGGGATATGAAGGAATGACCTATGTCTGGGATATGAAGGAATGACCTATGTCTGGGATATGAAGGAAAGACCTATGTCTGGGATATGAAGGAAAGACCTATGTCTGGGATATGAAGGAAAGACCTATGTCTGGGATATGAAGGAAAGACCTATGTCTGGGATATGAAGGAAAGACCTATGTCTGGGATATGAAGGAAAGACCTATGTCTGGGATATGAAGGAAAGACCTATGTCTGGGATATGAAGGAAAGACCTATGTCTGGGATATGAAGGAAAGACCTATGTCTGGGATATGAAGGAAAGACCTATGTCTGGGATATGAAGGAAAGACCTATGTCTGGGATATGAAGGAATGACCTATGTCTGGGATATGAAGGAAAGACCTATGTCTGGGATATGAAGGAATGACCTATGTCTGGGATATGAAGGAAAGACCTATGTCTGGGATATGAAGGAATGACCTATGTCTGGGATATGAAGGAAAGACCTATGTCTGGGATATGAAGGAATGACCTATGTCTGGGATATGAAGGAAAGACCTATGTCTGGGATATGAAGGAAAGACCTATGTCTGGGATATGAAGGAAAGACCTATGTCTGGGATATGAAGGAATGACCTATGTCTGGGATATGAAGGAATGACCTATGTCTGGGATATGAAGGAAAGACCTATGTCTGGGATATGAAGGAAAGACCTATGTCTGGGATATGAAGGAATGACCTATGTCTGGGATATGAAGGAATGACCTATGTCTGGGATATGAAGGAAAGACCTATGTCTGGGATATGAAGGAAAGACCTATGTCTGGGATATGAAGGAAAGACCTATGTCTGGGATATGAAGGAAAGACCTATGTCTGGGATATGAAGGAAAGACCTATGTCTGGGATATGAAGGAATGACCTATGTCTGGGATATGAAGGAATGACCTATGTCTGGGATATGAAGGAAAGACCTATGTCTGGGATATGAAGGAAAGACCTATGTCTGGGATATGAAGGAATGACCTATGTCTGGGATATGAAGGAATGACCTATGTCTGGGATATGAAGGAAAGACCTATGTCTGGGATATGAAGGAAAGACCTATGTCTGGGATATGAAGGAAAGACCTATGTCTGGGATATGAAGGAAAGACCTATGTCTGGGATATGAAGGAATGACCTATGTCTGGGATATGAAGGAATGACCTATGTCTGGGATATGAAGGAAAGACCTATGTCTGGGATATGAAGGAAAGACCTATGTCTGGGATATGAAGGAAAGACCTATGTCTGGGATATGAAGGAAAGACCTATGTCTGGGATATGAAGGAATGACCTATGTCTGGGATATGAAGGAAAGACCTATGTCTGGGATATGAAGGAATGACCTATGTCTGGGATATGAAGGAATGACCTATGTCTGGGATATGAAGGAAAGACCTATGTCTGGGATATGAAGGAAAGACCTATGTCTGGGATATGAAGGAAAGACCTATGTCTGGGATATGAAGGAAAGACCTATGTCTGGGATATGAAGGAAAGACCTATGCCTGGGATATGAAGGAAAGACCTATGTCTGGGATATGAAAGGCTGGTTTGCCATAGGTTCAGACCTTCAGATCGCGGAGGTGTTGGTAACTGTATCAGTGCGGGTTTTCCAATGAGCAATAAGTAAAATTTAACGAATTGCAACATACCATAACGCCAATAAATGGAAAAGTAGACAAATACCACAGAAACTCTTGGATCGCATGAATTAAAACCGATGAGACGAGATTTCTCTAGTTATCGCACGGATTCAAATTATTCTAATTTTAATGAATAAAACTTTAGTGCAATGATAAATATTTCTGCACACAAGCTGGGTTTAATTAAGTGTGCTATCCTGGTGGTAAGATGCATCAGCTGTTATATATTGAAGTCATTCAGAAGAGGCAGGCATAAATGTTTTTAACGTGACTCAGGAGGAATCAAAATTTCACACTATTTTACACAATAAAATTGACAGATGTACGACTTAACCCCTGAATTACACTCTCCTACATCTGTTTGCCAACGTTTTAAGCTACGATGTAGAGTTTTTGTAAGTTGTCGGAGCCATTCCAGGATGCTGGAAATGGGTTCAACAACTTTTTTTCATCAGACACCAAAACATACCAATTGTTCCTGGAATCTCGGTCCACCAGCGTAGAAAATTTAAAACCTGTCGGATGAGGCATGAGTCTTATGGCAGATGAAACGAAAATTTAAAGGAAAAGAAAAATGAACTGTGGCAAGCACTCAACGTCCCCCTCGGGCGTAACTCTGGCAAGCACTGAACGTCCCCCTCGGGCGTAACTCTGGCAAGCACTGAACGTCCCCCTCGGGCGTAACTCTGGCAAGCACTGAACGTTCCCCTCGGGCGTAACTCTGGCAAGCACTGAACGTCCCCCTCGGGCGTACCTAACAATTTATATGGAAGAATTTCTTTAAATTCGTATTTGGGAAATCGACAATTGCTCTAGGAAGACAGGTTGATAAACCACAGTAAAATACTTGATAAAAATATTTTAAGGTAGTCAAATATAACTGGTATAACAGGTGTGACTGGTATAACAGGTGTAACTTGTTTAACAAGGTGTGACTGGTATAACAGGTGTGACTGGTATAACAGGTGTAACTTGTTTAACAAGGTGTGACTGGTATAACAGGTGTGACAAGTATAACAGGTGTAACTAGTTTAATAAGGAGTGACTGGTATAACAGTTGTGGCTGGTATAACAGGTGTAACTGGTATAACAGGTGTGACTGATATAATAGGTGTGACTGGAGATGGATCTTCAACTTCCTAACAAATCGAACACAAAGAGTAGTGGTCAACAGAGTTAAATCGGAGGCTGTCATAGTGAAGAGCTCTGTTCCACAAGGCACAGTACTTGTCCCCATCTTATTCCTCATCCTCATATCAGACATAAAGATATACATCACAGCACCGTATCATCCTTTGCGGATGATACTAGGATCTGCATGAGGCTGTCATCTGCTGAGGACGCGGTTAACCTCCAAGAAGATATAAACAAAGTTTTCCAGTGGGCAACGGAAAACAACATGATGTTCAATGAGGACAAATTCCAACTACTCCGTTATGGAAAACTGGAGGAGATAATAACTAGAACAGAATATACTACAAACTCTGGCCATACAATAGAGCGGAAAAATAATGTAAGGGACCTGGGAGTAGTAATGTCTGAGGATCTCACTTTCAAGGATCACAACAGTGCCACGATCACAAGTGCAAAGAAAATGATAGGATGGATACTGAGAACGTTCAAAACGAGAGATGCCAAGCCAATGATGATCCTTTTCAAATCACTTGTTCTCTCTAGGCTGGAATACTGCTGTACATTAACATCTCCATTCAAAGCAGGTGAAATTGCAGATCTAGAGAGTGTACAGAGATCCTTTACTGCACGTATAAGTTCTGTCAAGCACCTTAACTACTGGGAACGCTTGGAAGCACTTGACTTGTACTCGTTGGAACGCAGGAGGGAGAGATATATCATAATCTACACTTGGAAAATCCTGGAAGGAATGGTCCCAAATCTGCACACAGAAATCACTCCCTACGAAAGTAAAAGACTGGGCAGGCGATGCAAAATGCCCGCAATTAAAAGTAGGGGCGTCATTGGTGCACTAAGAGAAAACACCATAAGTGTCCGGGGCCCAAGACTGTTCAACAGCCTCCCATCAAGCATTAGGGGAATTACCAATAAACTCCTGGCTGCCTTCAAGAGAGAGCTGGACAGATACCTAAAGTCAGTGCCGGATCAGCCGGGCTGTGGCTCGTACGTTGGACTGCGTGCGGCCAGCAGTAACAGCCTGGTTGATCAGGCCCTGATCCACCGGGAGGCCTGGTCATGGACCGGGCCGCGGGGGTGTTGATCCCCGGAACAACCTCCAGGTAACCTCCAGGTAATCCAGGTAACCAGGTATAACAGGTGTGACAAGTATAACATGTGTAACTGGTATAACAAGTGTGACTGGTATAGCAGGTGTAACTGGTATAACAAGTGTGACTGGTATAGCAGGTGTAACTGGTATAACAAGTGTGACAGGTATAACAGGTGTAACTAGTTAATGGTCCAAGTCGGAACGAACGTCGTCCTAAGTTACTTTCTGCTAAGTGCGGGTTATTTGTGTAATGTTATGGCATTCCTTTCACCTGCAGGTAATGACGAGACCGAGAACAAGAGCCCAACTACCCCAGACGAAGGTGGTTTTGGTAGTGTCCACATCTGCGCCTCCGTCCCCTATCCCAGCACTGCATACGGCTCCTATCCCAGGACGCCTAGACCCATATCATCCAGCAGTCCTCAGGTCGGTCTTCCGTGGGTAGGAGGCGGAATCTTAAGGAGAAAAGCTATTTTTTTAATGCAACAAATTTGGAATTAAAATATTGACCTGCATTCCTAAGTTGTAAGAAAGTGACAAGGCTGAACCAGCATGATGTGTCTACCCTAGAGTGAATGATAGTTACATTTAGAGAACTCCCGCAGAGCGCGGCTCCAATATTCCACAGCGTGTGGCTGCATTGTTCTGTATAAGAATTATGTGGGAGGAGCATCCTCAGTGAGCGGCTAGAGTTACATGGTTGAATTACTTGTAATTTGCAGCTAACATATTCTATGAATCTACATATAAGATTGTTACATTGCAGGAATTCCCCAGTCAGCAGCAACACAATCCGTCATGATAATTACATTTTGGGACACCTGTAATGTGAAGTTTTCCTATTCTAAATAACATTTACAAAGTGGTAACATCCAGTGTTTGGATCACCATTTCTATATGATTCTTATATTGTGGATCAAAAGCCAGCTATGTAGTCCTCTCATATACCATCTTATACAATATATCTTACATCTTCATACTGAGCTGGTACACTTGACAAAGGAGACCAGGATATCATTAAGCATATGCTACAATAGGTTCGGTACCCAGTGAAGATTCAGTGATTATATTCCAGGAGTAACTATTACTTGTAAATTACAATGTCTCAAGATGGAGCAAAATGAGGAAATAGCGAGGAAGAGACGAAGTAACTAAGACAATACTCGACAGCTTTGCCAGAGATACACAGAACTTTCCAGTAAAATGGGAAGTGGCAATATTAATGGTGGAAATTTCTGTTAATGAAACTCCAAGAAAGGTTTATTAAAAGGCTCATTATAACTGCAACAGGACGAGCATTTTGGTGAGAGATTAATGCCTGGAAGTTGGAGGAGACTGCTGGAAATTTAATTACGAATAGGTAAAGGGAGGAACATGGAAGTTTGGGCTTAAAGGTATGCTCGAGCAGACGACTATGAATAGGGAATGAGATCACATCTAAGAAGTCAGAGTAAAAAAAAAAACGAGAACTTAAATACATTTACATTTATCCAACTGAAATATTTGCTGCGAAGTGGAAGGTGGAGTGGGTGTGTGAGGTGGAGTAGGAGTGTGAGGTGGAGCGTGAGGTGGAGTAGGAGTGTGAGGTGGAGCGTGAGGTGGAGTAGGAGTGTGAGGTGGAGCGTGAGGTGGGGTGGGTGTGTGAGGTGGAGTGTGAGGTGGAGTAGGAGTGTGAGGTGGGGTGGGTGTTTCAGGTGCAGTATGAGGTGGAGTGTGAGGTCGAGTGTGAGGTGGAGTGGGAGTGTGAGGAGGGAGTGTGAGGTGGAGTGTAAGGTGGGGTGGGTGTGTGAGGTGGGGTGAGTGTGAGGTGGAGTGTGAGGTGGAGCGTGAGGTGGGGTGGGTGTGTGAGGTGGAGTGTGAGGAGGGGTGGGTGGGTGAGGTGGAGTGTGAGATGGTGTGAGTGTGGGAGGTGGAGTATTGTAGGTGTGGGATTTAGTGTGGATGTGGGAGGTGGAGTACTGTAGGGGTGGGATTTAGTGTGGATGTGGGAGGTGGGGTACTGTAGGTGTGGGATTTAGTGTGGGTGTGGGAGGTGGGGTACTGTAGGCGTGGGATTTAGCGTGGGTGTGTGAGGTGGGGTACTGTAGGTGTGGGATTTAGTGTGGATGTGGAAGGTGGGGTACTGCAGGTGTGGGATTTAGTGTAGATGTGGAAGGTGGGGTACTGCAGGTGTGGAATTTAATGTAGATGTGGGAGATGGGGTACTGTAGGTGTGGGATTTAGCGTGGGTGTAGGAGGTGGGGTAGTGTAGGTGTGGGAGGTGGGGTACTGTAGGTGTGGGAGGTGGGATACTGTAGGTGTGGGATTTAGTGTGAGTGTGGGAGTGGTTTAGTGTAGGCGTGGGATTTAACGTGGGTGTGGGAGGTGAGGTAGTGTAGGTGTGGGAGGTGGGGTACTGTAGGTGTGGGATTTAGTGTGGGTGTGGGAGGTGCTTTAGTGTAGGTGTGGGATTTAGCGTGGGTGTAGGAGGTGGGGTAGTGTAGGAGTGTGATTTAGCGTGGGTGTGGGAGGTGGGGCAGTGTAGGTGTGGGAGGTGGGGTAGTGTAGTTGTGGGAGGTGGAGTACTGTAGGTGTGGGAATTGGTGTTGGTGTGGGAGGTGGGGTACTGTAGGTGTGGGATTTAGTGTGGGTGTGGGAGGTGGGGCAGTGTAGGTGTGGGAGGTGGGGTAGTGTAGATGTGGGAGGTGGAGTACTGTAGGTGTGGGAAATGGTGTTGGTGTGAGAGGTGGGGTACTGTAGGTGTGGGATTTAGTGTGGGTGTGGGAGGTGGGGTACTGTAGGTGTGAGATTTAGCGTGGGTGTGGGAGGTGGGGTACTGCAGGTGTGGGATTTAGTGTGGGCGTGGGAGGTCTTAGTGTAGGTGTGGGATTTAGTGTGGGTGTGGGAGGTGGGGTAGTGTAGGTGTGGGAGGTGCGGTAGTGTTGGTGTGGGAGGTGGAGTAGTGTAAGTGTGGGAGGTGGGGTAGAGTAGATGTGGGAGGTGGAGTACTGTAGGTGTGGGAGGTGGGGTAGTGTAGGTGTGGGAGGTGGGGTAGTGTAGGTGTGGGAGGTGGGGTAGAGTAGATGTGGGAAGTGGAGTACTGCAGGTGTGGGAGATGGGGTAGTGTAGGTGTGGGAGGTGGGGTAGTGTAGGTGTGGGAGGTGGGGTAGAGTAGATTTGGGAGGTGGAGTACTGCAGGTGTGGGAGATGGGGTAGTGTAGGTGTGGGAGGTGGGGTAGTGTAGGTGTGGGAGGTGGGGTAGAGTAGAATTTGGGAGGTGGAGTACTGTAGGTGTTGGAGGTGGGGTAGTGTAGGTGTGGGAGGTGGGGTAGAGTAGATTTTGGGAGGTGGAGTACTGCAGGTGTGGGAGATGGGGTAGTGTAGGTGTGGGAGGTGGGGTAGTGTAGGTGTGGGAGGTGGGGTAGAGTAGATTTGGGAGGTGGAGTACTGCAGGTGTGGGAGATGGGGTAGTGTTGGTGTGGGAGGTGGAGTAGTGTAAGTGTGGGAGGTGGGGTAGAGTAGATGTGGGAAGTGGAGTACTGCAGGTGTGGGAGATGGGGTAGTGTAGGTGTGGGAGGTGGGGTAGTGTAGGTGTGGGAGGTGGGGTAGAGTAGATTTGGGAGGTGGAGTACTGTAGGTGTGGGAGGTGGCGTTTATAAGGTCAAGTACAATGGGGTTACAATGGGGTTACAATGGGGTTACAATGGGGTTACAATGGGGTTACAATGGGGTTACAATGAGGTTACAATGGGGTTACAATGGGGTTACAATGGGTTACAATGGGGTTACAATGGGTTACAATGGGGTTACAATGGGGTTACAATGAGGTTACAATGGGGTTACAATGGGGTTACAATGAGGTTACAATGGGGTTACAATGGGGTTACAATGAGGTTACAATGGGGTTACAATGGGGTTACAATGGGGTTACAATGAGGTTACAATGGGGTTACAATGGGGTTACAATGGGGTTACAATGGGGTTACAATGGGGTTACAATGGGGTTACAATGGGGTTACAATGGAGTTACAATGAGGTTACAATGGGGTTACAATGGGGTTACAATGGGGTTACAATGGGGTTACTCAAAGTTCGCCCTAATGAAGACAATAAAATATAGTTTAAAAATATTTTTGTATACCTTTTTCATATATTTTAACCAATATTAACACAGAAATCAAATCTAAACTAGTTAAAAGAAATTACATGAAAAACAAAAACTGTAAAATGTGAGAAACTTTACGTAATCCCTCGATTGATTTTCACTTGTTAATAGGAAGAAACTGATGTGCAATGGTGTAAAACAACTTTATCTTTATCTCCACCACAGAACATGGAGCTAATGTATGCAGAACTGACCTTACCTCGCGGCGTCGCTCACTATCCCACCGCAACCTTCTCCCGGCGCAAGCAAGAGCCCAGTATTTACGCCCAGATAGATCACGCTGTACCGAGTGTCCCTCTGTCTAGGAACGTCGTCCCTGTCATCAGTTGTGGCAGCGGTGGGATTGTCGTAAGTTCCGTGGATGGGTTGATGGGTAGCAGTCTTTGTGGCAGCGTGGTCGGAGTTATGAGTGGTGAGATGGGCGGAAGCATGGGTAGAAGCAAGGGTGCTAGTATAGGTGGAATGGGCGGCAGTGTGTGCACTGGAAGCGGTATAGTAATGGGTGCCATGTGTTCCCAGGAAGCTATAGCTAGGGACTTTGAGAGTTTGGCCCAAGCCACGCACACGCCGCCACCACAAGAATTTCGAGGACCCCCATTGACCCCGCCCATCCACCCAGAAGAAGACGAGCAGGCCACAGCAGAGACGCCTCTCATGAGTGACCACAAAGAAAGTGAAGTGTAACAATCCACTCGTATTGGCTTTGGCTCCTTCCACTTCCTCTTTCCCCGGAGAACGAATTGTGTTAGCCAATAAATGGCTCATCTTCCACTGAATCTAGAACTCTTGCTAAATTCTGTTCACCAAATTTGAATGTTTCTCCAGTTAACCTAAGAATTAGACGGAATCAATGCTGTTCTTTACCAGGACTTATGTCTAGCATTTATTTATATCTGTAAGAAGCTGAGTCAGAACTAAAGCTACTCTAACGAAATAATTCACATTCAAGTTTTTGATCTTCCAACACAAAACTTATGTAGCTGTGAGATTCATTATCTTTCTAAGATTGATTTGAAACTTACATCAGTCTTATAGAATGAATCACATGATGGCTTATCTGAACTACCTTTTATACTATCTGATCCGACAAGTGAAACAAGTAACAAAAGCAAACAATGACTTTAGCAATAAATGACGTAATTTTAAAGGATTCTTAAAAAACTTATCACATTACTAAATAATAACAAATTTAACTATGATATTGAATGAAAGCTGAAACTTCCTACTTTTTGTACAATAAAAATATTGCACAGTGATATTAGTTTTGTCTTTAGGATTAAAGATAAAAATTCTGTAATTATCCTATTACAAAATTCACCGAGTTTTCTTTCTCTTTGTAAATACATTGAAATTTCACTTAAATCTGTATTTTAATGAGTAAAATATTCTTGGTATTAATGTACAGGTAAATCTTATCCTTAATAACCCACTTGCAGTCACACTAACATACGAACCTAATATTAGATGGGTCACTTATAGGTGTAGTAGCAGGACTGAAGAAAGACACAAATCCGTAGAAAAAAAGATACTGTAAAAATGGGATAATTATGATAAATGAATTGTTTAAAGTTATTATAGATTATTTGTATTTGTAAGATATTTTGTGTGTTAAATTAATTGAAATACTTCTTTCATCAGTGTGATTGTAACAAAGTGTTCAACAGATTTTTGACATTCTAACCATCTATCATTAAATTTTCAACACTTTTTTTTTGTTTCTATAATAATACAACCCCCTCCCCCTCATCCCCCATTAGTGTATTCCTATTATTCAAGCCACTTTCACATAATTCGGTTAGATCATTTTGTCAGGGTAGAAGAAAATAGATCTGCACTGCACAAGTGCTTTTATCTAAAGAAACTTATATACTCTAAACGATTTCTTTTTGAGATTTATACAATCAAAAAGTCTTTAAACATACCTGAATAGAAGTCTATTACATTTAAATGGAGGTGAACCGCAGACAGAATGAGCTGAGTATCATTCATGAAAATCGCAGAAGGACCACAAGTTCGGGGGACAAAGACTGCAACCTCACTCAAGGAGGACCTTGGGATGGGTATCATACCGAGCATATTCCCTCAACACATCAACCGATTAACTGTTACGACGCACATCTAGCAAATATAAGATTAGCTTTCAGGAAAGTAAGGAAGGAATCATTCACGACACAGTATACAGCATGTGTCAGGCTTATATTTTGTACGCAACACAAGGGTGGAACCCACACCTGATCAAGCATGTCGAGAAGATGGAGAGAGTGCAGAGGTTTGCAACAGACTGGTCCTGGAGCTAAGAGGTATGTGCTATGAAGAAAAGTAAAGAGGTTAAGGGAGCTGAACCTGGTGAAACTAGAGGAAAGAAAGACTAGGGTGAAACGATCACATTGTAAAAAATGCTGAGATTAATTGATAGGGTGGACTTAGATTGTTTGCGAGTAGGGTAACAGATACGCGAAGACACAGTGGAAGTTGAAAATATTGATGAAACACAGGGATATCAGGAAGTATTTCTTCAGAGTGGTCAGGAAGTTGTACGACCTGAACAATGGAGCGATATAGGCAAGATTCATAAGTAGTTTAAGAACATATACGATAAGACTCTCTGAGCCCGGAAAAGTCAATCCAGCGGCCAGAGATGAGTCAGACCCAGGAACTGAGACTCGACCCTGAAATTGCATATGGGTGAGTAAAGATACACACACACACACCTACACACTCACCTGGACACACACACACACACACACACACCTACACACTCACCTGGACACACACACACACACACCTACACACTCACCTGGACACACACAACTACACACTCATCTGGACACACACACACACACACACACACAGCGGGTTCAGGAACTGAGTCTCAACACCCGTAAACACAAGTGGGTGAGTACACACACATGAAATAGTAACAACAATAAATTACTTCATGAATCTAAGAGCTGAATCAGCACCTATCTTATGACCTCATTCTTTACCTGAATGAGAAAGGTGAATTGAAAAAGAGTGAAAGTGAGACTCAAAGAAACTGGGAAGCATTAAGGTAACAACCAAGACTAAGATCACTGACCTGAATCATCTTATTTTTGCCAGATCAATTTATAGTGGAGTCATTCTGGAAATTGCTTTCATATATATATATATATCTGGAGAGAGTTCCGGGGGTCAACGCCCCCGCGGCCCGGTCTGTGACCAGGCCTCCTTAGGTCAGTGTCCCAGGATGCGACCACACACCAGTCGACTAACACCCAGGTACCCATTTTACTGATGGGGAACATAGACAACAGGTGGAAAGAAACACGTCCAATGTTCCAACCCGGCCTGGGAATCGAACCCAGGCCCTCACCGTGTGAAGCGAGAGCGTTAACCACCAGGCCACCAGAGCCCTCTATATATATTATATATATATTTATATATATATATATATATATAATATATATATATAATATATATATATAATATATATATATATATATATATATATATATATATATATATATATATATATATATATATATATATATATATATATATATATATATATATATATATATAATATATATATATATATAATATACGATAAACATTAAAATCAAAGGTTCCTACAATGTATGCATATACGAGTCCTATAGTACTATAATGATTTATATTTCGTGATTATTGTTTGGTCAGTACACAGTGGGTTGGAGAACGTGTTTATGGAGTGGTTGGAGGGCAATGTTGTCATCAATATTACATCTGTGACTGACCAGTATATGCCGGTGAAGTTTTAATTACTTCGCCTAGACGTCTCGACCTCATTAGTTTTAAATAAAAATATAAGAGTATTCTCCACTATTTTCATTCTATTTAATGAGCACTTAAGACATTATTAAACGATCATTTACCTTATCAAGACATTTTGTTGACTGTGAATGTCAACACACCGTCACATTCTTTAAGGCAAAACAGTAAATGGCTCTCACACGTTTCTTCTCTACTTATTGCTCTAAAAAAAAGTCGAGTGTAATAGTTGAGATTTTATAAGCCTTAAGACTTTCAAACTTTTATTATTTATTTAATTCTAAACGAGAGTTAAGAAACACAAGTATGCTTAGAAAAGCAACATACATCATGTCTTCGTTGTGATCAACACTCTCCAGCAAAATATTATAGACAGCCACAAAAAGCAACATACGCAGAAGCATGTTAGTTTCAAAAGTCTAAAAGTTAAAACTCACGGAGCAGAACAGAGGAGTTTGCAGGCTGCACCTCTGACCTCACTTGTTCTTGGGTAGATTTATCATTGTTTGTACATGAGAACTGCCCCATCCTGATTTTACTTGCAAAATATTCTAATCCTCTCTCCCCTCACCCTTCGTTCCCCCAGTGCTCTTCTCCGTGTACATATGCTCTCGTGCGTTTCATTTATTTATTTTTTGATAAAAACTCAAGAGAAAACCTTGCCTTTACCATAGGTGATCTACCTTACTTGATATAATAATGCTCACAGTTCTTGCTGCTGAGTACTCGCGTAGTACAGAAATAATCTATAGGACTCAGGAGTTGCTAAATAATCACACATACACACTCACAAGTACAAACCTTTCAAGGAAAGATACAAGGCCCAGACGGTAGAAAACCTTTAAAACTAGTCAAATCTTACGAAAATGTGAAGTCTGGAGCTGTGTTCAGAACTGACCACCATGGATCCAGTACTAACTACCCTGTATCCAGTAGTGACCAAACTGAGTCCATTAATACCCACACTGTGTCCACTACCGACTAATATATATATATATATATATATATATATATATATAATATATATATATATATATATATATATATATATATATATAATATATAATATAATATAGGGAGGTACCACCTTTAAAACTTTACTGGGGACCCTCATCCTCAGAGAAGACAATAAACGTACCTCAGGGAAAACTCATGGTTCTCCCCGGAGCTGTTTGAATATTTTCTTCTCCTACCACCCCCTAGAATTTATATAATATATGTAATTTATTAATAGACAGAATACATTGATAGAAAACACAAACATGAGTACATTGGTACAATATATCAAATGTTATGAATCTCCTCCATCTCCTGACGAAGCCGGACGCGAGCCCAGTATGTAGCATGCATATATATATATATATATATATAATATATATATATATTATATATATATATATATATATATATATATATATATATATATATATATATATATATATATATATAGATAGATAGATAGATAGATAGTTCCTTGATAATGTGAGTAGTCACGAAAGCGCTTGGAATTTCTCTATTCTTTCACAGTGGTTGTTTTGCATATTCTGAAATCACCTGTTTAATGTGATCTTATTGCATATATATATATATATATATATATATATATATATATATATATATATATATATATATATATATATATATATATATATATATATATTAATAAACAGAATACATTTACAGAATACATTTACAGAAAAAAACATAAACATGTATACAATGTATCAAAGATCATGAATTTCCTCCAGCTCCTCCGAGGCTGGACGCGAGCCAAGTATGCAGCAAGCATTTCCCCTCTGGATGGCTACGCTGAGGCGCTGGAACATGAAAGTGGCTGCCCTTGGGTCCCTGGTGGTGTCGATGAATCTGGAACCCAATTCTTTAAGGAAACGTGTGGCATTTTTTTCCCATGATCCCAAGGTCTCTGATCCCACTGGGACAAATTGATACTGTTGGCTAATGTCCCTGTACGTGCTGATCTTGTACTCCTCCCTGTGGTCAGCAGCTCCTCCCTGTCGCCCCACACTGTGATGGATATAGGTGTCAGCCAGTGTGGACACACAGGTATAGTCCCATGCTAAGAGCTTGCAATTCTTCCAAGGATAGATGGTGATCCCGTCGGGGCGGTTTGCTTGGTTGTGGGTATTGTTGGCTGCTAGTGATCAGGGCTCCCTCTCGGCTGGGCATCCAGCTGTAGCAAGGGTTCTCTTAATGGTGTCGTTGACCTCATTGTGTCTTGCATGCCAGCCCTTGGTTTTGGAACAGTTAAGACCATGTAGACCGTATTGGTCTGCTTGCACTTCGCCGCAAATACACGTATATTCTCTATGAATTGGGGCAGCAAGGCGCAGAGCCACTGCAATACGGAGGGTGTTAGGGTCGAGTCGCGTTCCTATTGCCGATATGGGAACTGTTTGGAGGAAGTCCCCGGAGTGAGGTGCGCTCACAGCCTGGAGACGGGCAATCTCCCTATCTGATGTTGCAGCCCTGAGCATGTTGGCAAGCACCTTTTCAGCAATCGGGCCATCCCAGCTTGACTGTTTGTGAGCCAGTGCTGCACTAGGGTTTGGTGCTGGAGCGTCAAGAGTCTCCCATTCGGTGATGGCACTGGCATAGCTAGGGTCTTCTATTCCTGCTGAGTCACTGAGGGTATCGGGAAGAATTTGTCTTATCAACTCGTTTGATGATATGGAAGAGGATAGGAAAGCTGGTAGAGCAATCTGGGAGGATCTGCGTACTCCTAGCCCTCCAAGCCTGACCGGAAGTGAAGCTTGCAACCACAGTCCATCGTCAAGGGAAAGATTCAATACACTCTCTAGCATGATCTTCAGGAGAGAGTCATATTCCTTGAGTTTTGGACTGCTGAAGGCTGGGCAGCATCTCAGAAAGTAGGTATATATATATA